ACTGCAACAACAAAGAACTCTGGCTACTATCCCAGGATATGAGCAAAGCATATGACTCTGTTAACATAAATTTACTTCAAAAATCACTTGAAAGAATTCAATTCCCACCTCAACTTATCCAAATAATACTCAACTTGCTCTCTAACCACTCTAACAAAGTTATTACTAACTTTGAACTAACACAGTCATACATAGTTAGGAATGAAATTGATCAAAAAAAAACAATTACACCCCTTCTATGGTGTATTTATTATGACCCTCTAATATCTCAAATTGCTAAAAAACATAAAGGTTATAATCTATAGATCTCCTGAATTACAGATCTCAAATTAAAACAAATAAATCAACTACAAATATCTACCTTCATCCTTGCATTCATAGATGATACATTATAAATAGTACTATTAAAAAATGAACTTGAACAAATTCTGATATTAGCTTCATTATTTTTTAGGATAGCTAATATACAAGTTAACCTACTCAAATCTATTCTTAGTACTAATTCAAAAAATCTAATATCTATTGACTTTATCTAATATACAATCACTCTACAACCCAAAAATATACCCTTTAAATTTTTAGGATATTGGTTCCTGCCAAGTCACCAACAGATCCAACAAACCAAACTTATTGTTCAAGAATCAAACAACCTAACCAACATACTCAAAACCAAACAAATTACTGACAAACAAGTAGCATACATTATAAATACTATTATAATCCTAACTCTTGAATATCAGATTCATAATATTGTTTTATCAAAAACAATCTGTGAAAAAATACTCTCTATATATATAACTATTGCCAAATACAAATCAAATCTCTTACAAAGTATTTCAAATAGTGTTATGCTAAATCATAATATTTATGGAATTAAAAATAACTAGAATATATAGCTCCAACACCACATCTCAAGATTTCTACTCTGACTTAATAATATTAATCTTTTAGGAATAACTACAAAAATCTGTATTTAATAACTACGGAATAATTTGTAGTCTACAACAAATATTTTCTAATACCCTAACCCAATTATTGATAGAAAAAATAAGTACTCTACTAACTTTAAAATTATTCAACTACTCTAACACTTAGATATACAAATAAGTGCACACTCTAGTATAATATAGCCAAATACTATTATATATAATGCATATCCTCTTGAACTACTACTTAATTAATATAATACCTACAATAAGTATTGTGTAATTTACTAAGGGAAGAATAATTTAAACCAAATAATATATTAACTTTAGATATTATTCTTGGTCCAAATAAACCAAGTAAATATCAAATCAATAATTATCTAGTTCTAATCATCGATGAGTTAGTTGATTTTGCTTCTGGTATAGATTTACTAGCAACATTCGAATATAAAAAAGGATGCAAAATTTATGTTGCATTAATTCTATCATTAAACAATATTCTAGTTGCAAGAAAGATTTGTGATTATACAAATTATACAGTGAAATATTATCGCTGTCTAAAATGTGCAGCATATGATAATTTATCTAAAAGAAGTTACTATGGTAGTTTTGAAAATATGGATGAATGGTTTAATCCAGTAGATATAACAAAATATTTTGATACAGTGAAAGAATGGTTAAATTGTACAAATAAACAGGAAAGAGATAATCATATATCTAAAACAGGAGTAAGATAGTTAGAATTATATCAGCTAAAATTTTTTTCTAGTTAAATTTATAGTTGTCAACCTGATGCATTATCTATTTTTAGGTATCAAAAAATGGATAATAAAGTAATGTTTATTGAATAATAAAAAACTTAGCAAAGAACAACTTAAAATTATTGAAAAGTATATATCAAGTACTAAAGTTCTAGCAGATATAGGCCGTGTTCTATCAAAAATAGTGCAAAGGTCAGAAGGATTTAGCTGATTAACTGCAAATTAATGGAAAATTTTCTATCAAGTTTATGCTATTCCTTGTATTTGAGATATGCTAAATCTTGAAGATAGAGAAATCCTCTTTAATTTCGTTAGTGTATATAATTTATTAATAAGTCAAATAGTCAAACAAAGTGACCTAGATAAAGTGCATAGGTGATTAATAAAAATAGCTAAGTTAATTAAGAAGAATTATGGTCCAGAATTAATATCGTCAAATATTTATCTTTCTCTTCACATTAGGCAATGTTGTCTTGATTATAGTCCACTATACGCTTATTAGTGCTATTCATTCAAAAGGATGAATAGCCTATTAGGTTCTTATCCAACAAGCAATCAGTTAATAGAACCAGAACTCATGTATATTCTAATGAAAAACATGCAGCTAGAATATAGGATAAGTTTAGTTAATAGA